GATTTCTGATGATTTCTCATGATTTCCCATGATTTCCCATGATTACTGACGAGTTCTGATGATTTCTCATGACTTCTCATGATTTCTCATGATGCTTGTTCAACTTTGTAAGGTTTGTGATGAAGGCTGATGATTCCCTGTGAGTTTGTTGGACTTGCGATGTTTCGTGATGATATTTCATGAGGCTTCCTGTTTGGTGATGTCTTTCGATGACATATCATGACATTCTGAGTTCTCTGTTGGCTTCGGGCTTTTGGTTCAGCTGGCAAGCACACGTGACACCGAGAACACTTCTAGTTCTACTTACCACAGACAAACATGTGCTTCAACGCTGCACAAGGGAGCACTGCCGTCCCTACTTGCCCTCTGCACTGCCCTAAGCTCGCACAAAACATGACTGTCACAAGCAGCACTCGGTCTCGAAAGGAAGCAGGGCTTTCTTTCACTCGATGGGCCCCGGTGTCTGTGTCTGCACGACCGAAAGTTGAGCTGCTTCAAGACTTAAGTCGCTGTCGGAGAAGGAATCAACAGTGTTCTGGCGCATCTGCTACGACGAAGAGCTTGAACTTGAACTGCTACTGTCGCTGCTGCTACTCTCGTCGGTCGACAAAGAAGAAGCCGAAGAAGCAGGCATCTCGTCGTCGCCTTCAGAAGCAGTGTCGTCGTCCTCAGCATCCTCGTCATCTGATGCTGCCCTGGCTGCCGCTTTGGCTGCCGTCTTGCCTTTCGGCTTGGGTTTGGCTCTCACAGCTTTAGCTTTACCTTTTGGTTTCGCCTTTGCTTTGCCTTTGGCTTTCGGGGCTGCGTGGACAGGCACGGCTGCAGCTGCGGGCATGGCTGCATCCAACTCAACATCACTTCTCACATCTGCCGGGTCAGGTCGCTGCATCAAACCGATTTGGGCTTCCAAGACTGACATGGGCGGGCAACTCTCCAAAGGCAGCGGCGATGAAACATGAAGGCGTTGCCTATCGAAGTCACGGGCTTGTGTGCACCACCACAGAAGTCTCCTGAGTGTGGCCGTCTTGTTGCTGGGCTCAGCACTTTCACAGCCAATGTACCTTTTGCAGCCAGTCTTGTCAGACTTCTTATGGTAGACACAAGTCGCCTGGAACCCGCCATATCTTCCTCCACCAACAGTGCCCGGCTGTTTGGCCGTTATACGGAAGATTCCATACTCCCGATTCACCAACTGAGGGATGTCCTCATCCTCGTTCTCGGGCGGCGGGGCAATGGCGGCCCTGGCTGCAGGAGGAGCAGGCGGATCTTCCGGCGCAACAGCCACGGCAGCGGCTTCAGCTTCAGAGTGCGCTGGAGAAGCGACTGGAGCATCGTCAAGCTGTTGTGCCTCAATCGCAGCATGGTGGGCTTCAACTGCCTCTTCGACTAACTCCAGCAGCTCTGCGTCGGATTCTTCGACGCTTCCCTGCGCATCAGCATTCTCGACTGCTTGTTCTGCACCACCCGCATCACCTGCGGGAGCAGGCAAGGGGGCCGCCGGATCCGGAGCATTGTCCAAGACATCGACATCAGGAGGCGGAGCATCCTCCAACCTGGCAAGCTCGCCTTGGATATTGCCCCGGAGAAGAGCCTTGTAGGAAGCATCGTCTCGACCATGCTCAATGGCAGGCAACCCCAGATCGAAAATCTCTTCTGCACGCAGCAAAACTAGAATGTAGGATGCGACGGGTGGCTCTGATGTCGAGTACCAGATTTTCTGCCCACCCCTGACATAAGCATCGAATGTTCGACCTGCCACAGCCATTCGGCGGGTCCGTTTGGACGGTGGGACCCATGCCTGCCACTGCCACCCAGCCTCCTGCAAAGCCAAGAGCAATTCGTACGAGGTCCGATCTTGCAACCGCAACTGGTTCCGCACCTGGAACACTCTCACCGGATTGGCCACTCTGGCACAACTGGTAAGATCCTTTGTGCCGGCATCAGTCAAAAACCAACGCACATCCTGGTTGCCTTGAGCACACGCAAAACCATGATCTTGGAGAAGTTGAAGGGAAGCAGCTTCATGTTGCATGGCAGTATAGCCTAAAGATCCAGCGTTGCTTGCGAATGCTCCCGCCGCAACGATGCCCTGCAGCAAACTGTGCATTTCACCATGCTGCACACCCAGGACATCTGTAGAACGAAATGTCCAAGCCAGCTGCACATCACTCCACCGTCGCATGCTGGTTTGCAGCTCTTCAATCTCACCACCGAAACCACTCAAAAGGAACTGGTCGCTGAAAGAATCTGCCGTGGCCGATGTGCCGCTTATCAAGGCAGTTGGGGCAACGAGGGCATTCTCCGTAGAAAGCTGCTTGTGAGCAACGACAACTGCACCTTTGGAGAGCCGGCCTCCTGCCCCGACAGCTGGGCGGATGACCTTCTTGTCTTGTGGGTTTTTCAACAAGATTTGAAAAGTCACAGTCTCAGCTCTCGGAATCATCGCCTCAATGTCTGGAACTGCTGCTGCATGATCAGCATCAAGTTGGACCCTTTGACGCTTTGTGCCAGGTTGATTCAACGCAGCCTCCACACCTTGAAGCATCAAGCAGGATGCTGGGGCAGTGTAGAAGCAAGTCGTATCTTGCCCATCGTGCAAACACAACATGTGCTGCTGCATGGCCCCTCGCAAAACTCCTTCATAACTGATCGCACCACGTCTTAGCTCCCGAGACTCTTTCAGCAACTTGGCTTCAACATCTGCCGCCCGCCTTTTCAGCTTTTCGTGCAGCTTGCCAGCCTCGTCGTGCGCTTCGTACATATTGTGAAGATCACAGCGATACAGCACTTTGGCCAGCACAACGCGCATGTCGGCTGGCCGGCGAGAAAAGAAGTCTCCAGCTTCCAAAGCCGGGTGATCCTCCACACCAAGCAGATGTGGAACCTGCTTCAAAGATCGACTGATGGCAAACTTCTCTAACAGTTTCTCGCCTGAGATATGCCCTCGCAGCAACCATCTCTCAAGCAATGGCAAACGGTTCGACAAAGAAATCCGCACTGGTCCGATGTGATGCTTTTTCTTGCTCAATGCAACACGTGCATGCTTCTCTTCAATAGTAGTCTCCACCACGGGTACGAAGCGAAAATGAGCTACTTGCTTCAAGAATGCTTGTGGCAATGTGTTCAACGCAGCACCGTCTGCAAAGGCCTTGAGCGAGTCTAGAAACACACCTGGTGCAAACAGCTTTGTTGTAAGTCGATGGTGCGCTTCAGGTCGCGACTCTTGCTGCCAAACTTCCAGACATTTCCTAGCCACCTCCCTGGCAGTAGGTTCGCAAGGATGGGCCAAACCTGCCAGAAGCCACGGCAACTTCTGCATGTAGGATGTTTTCATCCGCAGTAGGAGCAGCATCTTGGCTTTGCCTGCAGGGCTGCCAGATGACAACACAAGTACCCTGACACCGAGACCAATGGCACACAGCAACCGCAACACCACCAGCAGCAGCAGCAGCACAAGGAAGGGAGCTAGCAGTTACAGCAGCCAACAGCACTGAACTCATCAACAAAAACCAACCAGGACACCAACTCACCAACACTCCTTCCCGCCCGCCCTCCCCCCCCGCACCCACACAACTGGTGCAGCGACAAGCAACAACCAGCAGTAGCGGCAGTGTCAGCAGCAGGAACAGAGAGGCATACAGCGGCAATAGTTTATTACGTCCCTATACGGCACCCTGAAATCACTCAGCCTAAAAGCCCAGAGCCCAGAGAAATGAGATGGTCTAACGAATCAAAGAAGGCCTTGTCTGAAATCAGATATCAATAAGTTCCAGTCCTCTGCTGACAGCGGCGCCAGCCCACCAGGCAGAGGCAACAAGCGCAACTCCGCTTCGTGCAGGGAAGTGATCTCTTCAGCAACAGACTCCAGCAGTCCTGTGACCAATTCTGGGAGGAGTTTCCCAGCCATCGGGCAGGTTTTGATGCCTGCTCCAAAGTGTTCCTGCAGACATTGGCGTCTCTTGTGCTCGCTCAGCTGGGCAAGCAGTGCACCGTGGCACACGCAACCTTCTGCTGTACTGGCTAAAGATTCTGGCACCTGCTCGAGTCTCAAAGCCATGTCAAGGTAGCTGTGGAACAAGGAACTTTCCAAAGTTGCCGTAACCTTCTCGGGATCCAAGGCCGAAAGCCCCCGCATTGTATTCTGTGCATTCTCGGCCTGTGCCTGTGCTGGGCGGGAAGCACCTTCGGCGTTGACACCACTAACAAATTTGTCAGGATCCCATGCCCTGACCAGTGTAGACAGCAAGGGTTTCAGACATCTCAAGAAGCCGACGACTTCGTGCCAGCGTGCCTCGTACAAGCTGCCTGAAAACTTTCGAAAACGAAAACCCTGCCCTTGCAGAACTGTGCCGTGCAAACAAGTCCAAACGAAACGCTGCCGCCGTTCGTCAACCCTCAGGAGTGCTTCCAATGACTTCAAGTTGGCAAAGAACTCAGTCCAATGCTTCATGCCCTGGTGAACATCAGCGCACAAATTGTTGACTACATGTTGAAGGCCAGCTACTTGCAGGGCCTCTGGCATGAAAAACACAGCATCATCATGACCAGGCCCAGGTGGCTGGGCAACAGGCGCTTCTACTTCTGCAACAATGTCGTCGTCCAAGAAATCACCATCGATGTCCGGGCTGGGGGGGGCGGGTTGGGTAGCATCAGGCACATCCCCATCGTCGACATCTGGCAAGTGCTGATGCTTCTCACGAATCCACTCTGGCAGCAAAGAATCAACAGAACCAGCGACGCGAAAGTCAGGCAGACCTATCTCAACGCCCATGTCACTGCAGTGGGCAACATATGATGAAGCATGCTCGGATAACTTCACCCCAGGAGGATGCTGAAGCTGCCACTTGTAAACCTCGCTGGCTGCTTTGTCTGCAAGTGATCGGCGGCCACTACCCATCGCAGCAGGTGGATGGATATGTTCATGCACACTCTCCTTGAGAGTTTGCAGCCAAGGCATCCACTCGGGCAGCGGAGCTGTTGGAAGCACCCCATCGGCATCGTCCTCTCTCTCATCATATTCTGCGACCACCTCACTGATGGCACGATGGAGATTGTGCACAGCCTGGAAACAACTCACAAGCCTTGACTCACGAATTTCATGGTATTGAGACCAGATCCAGTCGTAGCCTGCAAGAGGTGATGAGTCCGTCCAACCAACCCGGATACAGCCTTTGGAGTCGGCGGCCGTGTCCCTAGCAAGCAAGTTTAATGCAACGTCCAATGCCAACTCATATCGTGAAATCAAAGATGCACTCGGCAGGATGCCATGCCTCTGCGATTTGATATTCGAAAGGAAAGGAGCTCTCAAGAATTCTGGCAAAACCAGAGAAAGGCTTTGTGCCACGACGTCTGCTAGATTGCTGGGCCCGCCTGTCAAGCGGGTACTCAGCCGGATGCAATCAAATAGCTTGCGGGCTGTGTGCCGAAATTTTGAGCCTCCACCTGAAATACTCAGCATGCCCATCGCATTTCTCCACGAACCTCCCCAAGAGTCCAGTGTTCTTGTGAGATGCAGCAAGTCCTCTCGCACTGTTGCTGGAGGAGTAGATCCAGGAGGATCGTTCAGGAGCGCAGGCGCCCATCCTCTTATGACACCGGCAAACTTTTGCAGGACATCTGCATTCAGCGGTTCGGCAGACAGCAAAGCATCATCCACGTGCGGAGTTTCATTATGACCTCGTGCCCTCCACACAGGAGCATCAGCAGGAGGCCAACTAGGCAAGGGGCCCAGCGGGTGTCGATGCCGGTGCTCGTGGAGGCAACTGTGCCAACGCACAAGCAGCAAGATGCTGCGCCATTCCCGTTTCATCACCAGGAAAACCAAAGGAAAAGGAAGAAGTAGCATTGGTACATCATGTGGGGCGGTGTCTACTTGCAGCTCAGCAAAGAAATCATAAATACTGACTCGTTCTTCGAAAGAAAATGAGGGTTCAAGCAAAACCTCATCTGCAGTTCCTTGAGGACCTCCGGCTCCCCAATGTGGCATGAACAGCGGGTTGTTTAGCTTTATAGACGACAGACCTCCAGTGCCAATACCACGACTGGCCTTATGGAAAACACGTTGACTCTCAACACAAGCTCTGACATCTTGGATGCTCACAGAATAAGCATCCAAAGGCGCGTCGTACAGCGACTTCTGCAAAATGCACTCGCGATCCCACTGCGTTAGGGCGCCATTCTCATGAAAGCCTCCCTCCGAAGAAACTTTGACAAGTGCATGCAGCTTGAAGCCCTCTTCCTGCTGAAGCTGCTTTACTCCCTGCGACACAGCAGAGTTGAAAGTATACAAGATCTCTTGAACATACTGATCGCCACCGTGCTTTTGAAGCAAATCACAGAACCAGTCTGCAGGCTCCAAGCTACGCCTGCAGCGGACGACCTGGCCAGCCTCTGTTTGAACTCGCTTGCGCAAGCTTCCGTCTGGGAACGAGCCGAGCCATAACCAGCCCTCTTGTGTCATGCGCCATGCATCGAGAGTCGATACTTCACAACTATGCAAAGTAGTGATCTAAAACCTGAAAGCCTAAATCTAAACTCTAAACCCGAGCAAACCAAGACGTGTCAACCGGACCTATAAATAATACGTCAACATAAGCTATGCTGTTGAGGTAACTATTATTTTATAGGTCCGATTGTCACGTCCTGGAAGTCTGCCAGTATTCCGAATTGAAAGACAACTACGAAAAGAAGTATCCGTAGTTAGCCTACGTTCAAGAACTGCGAATGCCACATGTCGGATTCTGAAAGCCTGCGGGAGTGTCGCACGATGTCGCACGAAACTAACAGCAAGGAATTATCAGCCAACGAAACTGGGACGAAAACTTTGTGGAGCCCGCATGGCCGGCATTGGCCCGCACGTTCAGGCTGCTGTTTCGGTTTGTTTCGCAGCAAGAAGCCCAAATCTGAAATCTTCGAAGCAAGCAACATAAAATCCTGAAATCGAGTACCTATGGCCCCGGGGTTAGGGGTTGGGTTAGGGTTTTTTTTGTTTTTTATACGACGGATATCCGAAAAGGTGAAACGTCGGATCTAGAATGGCTATTCTTCAAGCTACAGTGGCCTAAGCCTACATTTCCAGAATTATGTGTTGGTGCCGGGCCTGGGGTGTTTTGGCCAGTTTAGGGTTTAGGGTTTAGGGTTTAGGGTTTAGGGTTTAGGGTTTAGGCTAAATCCTGAACCCAACTCTCTCCCCCTGCACACACCGGAGAATAACTCAAGCAATTGTATAACGTAAAGGCATGTGCTTGTGCGTAATTTTCAGAAATATATTCATATGTGTGTGTATATATATGTTATATATATATATGTTTCTACACATGCAGACCGAACACCCGCTCGAAATTGCAAAAGAAATCCTAACCCTCGACCCGAGCCCCTAAATCCTAAACCCCCAACCCTTAACCCTAGACCTTAAAGCCTGAATTTTAAACCGCTGAGCCCTACACCCCCAAACCCGAACCAGAACCCCTAACACAGCGAGACCACTCAACGCGAAGTTCGGCGATGAAGGCTTCGATCACCTGCGAGTCCGTGGCCTCCTGCGCAGGTCTGCTGCGGGCTTTTAGGTTTCGTGGATCAAGGCTCAGGGGTTCAGGGTTTAGTGGTTTTGGGCTGATGGGTTTAGGAGTTTAGGGTATGTGGTTCAGGGGTTACTGGTTTTAGGGATCTGAGGTTTCGGGGGGGGGGGGGGGGG